AAATAAATTAAACTGAGCATAAATAATTTTGTTTGTTGTAATTATTATTTTTTTTTATTATTATTTATTTTAAAAACATAAATATTAGTATTTAAATTGTGCAACTGATCTATACATCTCAACAGTACAATTGCAACACTAATATTAATTCATTCATTCAAACATTAAATCATAGAGCTTTTATTTTGGTAGAAACTGCGAGGAATTGCTGATTTATGAACGCGTTTCTTTATAAAGTTGGGAAGATGTTTGGCGCGTGTTGCATGTTATAAGCAGTCTATATTATTGAATTTACTGTGATCCGAGTGGCTTACATGAAACCTCACAATATGCAATATGCATCTGATTACATATTTATATCATTACAGTGCAGACTTTATGGATTGACAATCGTGCTAAACCATATCACATTCTAAGGATAATCAATAAAAATATACTCACTCTTCAGACTGATTTTTACTCGTGTGTGGCACTTGGTGAGTGTCCTGATCATATATATACTGTACATACACTACCAGTCAAATGTTTGGACATGCTGGACTGAACTTACTGTATGTAAATGATTTGTTTTATCATTCCAGCACCAGAAATCCTGAACTATGAGCCAATCAGCACAGCGACTGACATGTGGTGAGTTATTTTCCCCCATTACCATGTTTCACGTGAGGATCCTCATCTGTCCTCCTGAAGGTCAATGTTACACAATAAATACTTCTCTGGCCTCGAGTGTAATTGTGTGTTTTCCTCTGAACAAACCGTTTATTCACTGTTTAAAGGCACTCGCACCATCACTGGTTCAGTGTGTTGGCAAGAACATTTATATCCTTAAGTCTTGTATCAACAGTGCTGCTTTGAGAAGAGTCTGTTTGGGGGAGTCCAAAAGAAAGAGAAGAGCACCAGATTGCTTTTCATGCACCGTATAGCCTATTATCATCTGAAGCCATTCCATATCTTAATGTGAGGGACATAATTTATGTTTACAGAAACTCATCTTCCTTCTGCTGCAGCTGTCAGTCCTTCTCCGCTCAGTGATGACAGTCAGCATACAACTCTCTCTCCAAGATGATATATTCACATTATAATACTTTAAGTTTAAGGAAGGAAGGAATTATCACAAACAGAAAGATTGTTAGAAGAATATATGATTTCTATCTTATATTCATGAATGTATTTTGTAAGAATACAATTTTTTTTCTAGATATTGTTTTTGCTGCTAAATTATACCGTCAGATAGTTTAATTTCATAGCTTATATATTTTTATTCAAATGTAGTTTTTCTCTGTAATGAGGAAGTGAGTATTTAGTGGATTGCGTTTAACAAAAGGTTTAAAAGAGTGACCATTAGTGCCACAAACACAGTATTGATATTCTGTAGTGGTGTAGAAACAAATAGCGCTGGTGTTGGATCGGTATTGGACAATTCTTAGAATTTGGAATACTCTATGTAACCTTACACTGCAAAATAATAACTCAAAAAAATAACATCATAATTATTTACTGAAGCCTTAAATTAATCACAATTATATAATGAAAGCCATAAAAACAGACAATTAATCGCAATAACCGTGACTATTTTTAGACAATTAATCGTCAGCCAAATTTCATAATCGTGACAGCCCTATCTGTTTGTCACCTATAAACAGTAGGGCTGGGAAAATAAATTGATGCATCGCGAATCGAGAAATGTTTCGGCATCGATTCTGAGATTTTCCGAATGCATCGCGATTCATTCTCGAGTCGATTCTGAGCTTAGTTTAGAACAGCAGATGGCGCTACATGCTTCAGAAACAGCCGTACTCTGCTCGTTTCCAAATCCTTACCAGTGGTTGACCGATATTGGGGGTTTTTTGACCGCCGATGCCGATATCTTGGAAAGCAGGATGGCTGATATAAAGCCAATATAATTGTATTTATTTTAATTAATATTTAATCAATTTGAAATCATTTGAAATATGGATTAAAAAATAAAGGTTAAACATTTATACTTTAGATGACGAAGTATTTTTTTTTACAAATAAAGAAATATATTTAATACAAATATAATTAAAAAGGAAGTAAACACTGTAATCAACAGGGCACTCAGTATTCTGGGAAGTTTGTGTGACTTGGGAATCATATTTTTTTCAAATATTTGCACACAGTGAAAATGACATCGTCAAAATAAAAGTTCGAACACATCGGCCAAACAGAAAAACTATTCGGCCGATGCCGATATTTGAAAAATGACAAATATCGGCCGATATATCGCCCTTGGCGATATATATAGATCGACCACTAACGTTTACACACACTCAAACCTAAAATAATCATTCATAAAATTCGAAAAGGTTAAAGCGAATTACAAGGATGTTCACAGTGGGCTGTGTTTACATTAATCTGGCGTCATAAAAGCATTCTGAGCCGAGGTGAAATTACAAACTCAGCAAACGCTCAAGCGCTCTTCTTCATGAGTATTTATAAAAACTAGATTAGAGCGCCATCTGCTGTTAAAATCTAAGCTCAGAATCGACTTGAGAAAGAATCGCGATGCATTTGGAAGATCTCAGAATTGATGCTGAAACATTTCTCGATTCGCAATGCATCGATTTATTTTCCCAGCCCTACTGTTTATAGGTGACAAACAGACTCTTCTCAAAGCAGCATAAAAATCAGATTAAAGTCTAAGCTCAGAATCGATTCCAGAGAGAATCGCGATGCATTCGGAAGATCTCACATCTCCCCTTTGCTGTCTTTATCATTCAGGATAAACATCATACTAATATGATTTAGTGATCTGAAAAGCTTGCATATTTAGAAACCGAAAGGAAAAAAACGGGTTGTGCACAAGGGAAAATTGGCCTTTTTTAAAGGATGCACTGACGTCTCATTTCCCTCAAACCATTTTTTTTTTTAAGAATCAAAAATTATTAAAATAGTAATGTACTAACTAATGGTTCAAATTTTGGGGTCAGTAAAATTTTTTGTTTTTTTAACAAGTCTTTTCTGCTCACCAAGGCTGCATTTATTTGATCAAAAATACAGTAAAAACAGTAAAATGGTGAAATATTTTTGCAAATTAAAAAAAGTGTTTTCTCTGTGAATATCTGTTAAACTGTAATGTATTTCTGTGATGTGCAGCTGTATTTTCAGCATCATTACTCCAGTCTTCAGTGTCACATGATCTTCAGAAATCAGTATAATATGCTGATCTGCTGCTCAACAAACATTTCTGATTATTATCAATGAGAAAACTTGTGCTGCACAATATTTTTGTGCAAGCCGTCATACATTTTTATTTCTCAGGATTCACAGATGAATAGAAAGTTCAAAAGAACAGCATTTATTTGAAATGGAAATCTTTTGTAACATTAAAAATCTCTTTTGATCAGTTTAATGCATCCTTGATGAATGAAAGTATTAATTTAAAATATATTTTAACCCCAAATGGAGTTGAACATTCAGTCTGATTATATGAAAATACCCATTTCAAAAGAATGATTCAATCACTGATCTGGTTATTGAGTTCAGTTCACTGAATGGTGAATATAAATAGTCATTATGAACTTATGAGCTGCGTGAAGACTCCTCAAAAACTCTCCTTTTATGTTCCACATAAAAATATCTCAGCCATTGCTTGCACATTTCTGTTTCTAGATGAACGTGTGTTTGTCTGTCTGTATGCTCAGTGCTGCCGGAGGGGAGATTTTTAACCAGTGTGTGGCAGACCGAGACGAGGCCTTCAAAGAGGACGACGTGAAGAGGCTGATGAAGCAGATCCTGGAGGGAGTTTCCTTCCTTCACGGGAACAACGTGGTGCATCTGGACCTCAAAGTACGTCAATCACACTTGCTTGAAACTGCTACGCTGAAATCACTCATTTAGTGAAATCTGACTTTCGTGGCTAAATCAGTAAAAGTGTCAGGGTGGGCTAAATGCATTTGCTTTATTCACCAGAGCTACAAGTGAATAATTATATCACCATTAGGATTATAGGTTTCTCTGAGCTGTTTCTTTATTGCTTGGCGGTTTTCCTGAGAGTGTTTTTCTCCTTCAGCCTCAGAATATCCTGCTGACCAGCGAGTCTCCTCTCGGGGACATAAAGGTGGTGGACTTCGGCCTGTCGCGGCTGGTGAGCAGCAGTCAGGAGATCAGGGAGATCATGGGCACACCGGAGTACGTGGGTAAGAGCCAAGCCCAGATCAGAGTCACACATCATAGACAGCGCCTAAATAAAGCAAGAAGCCGTGGTTTACAGTGAATTTATAACCACTAAGGGGCGTTGTTAGACACGATGCGAAGCAGAGCTTTTATAAAACAGTTATTGCATATACGTAGTAAGGTTTCACAAAATAAAGCAGAGCAAATAAAGTGTAGTGATATTAATAAACACAGTATTCTTCCACCAAACAATGTAGCTCCTCAGAAACAGTTGTGGTTGCTACAAAGTGTTTGCCGAGCAACACACAAACGTAAACAAAGGTGTGTGTTACTTTGTAGCGTCATTTACAACAGCTTCGAACACGGCTCAGCCAATCAGAATCAAGCACCGGAACTCTCCACTTTATAAAATAGCATTTTAACACACCTGTGGCCGGTAACCAATATTATTTACTAGATGCGGAACTGTACATGCATTATTTCATTAAAAAAAATATTATTCTTAAAAATAATATAATAATAAAATAAATATCACTATAATACAATTGAACTGTGTAGTTACATTTTATTAATAAAGTTAATACATTTTAAGGTAAATAAATTAAACTGAGCATAAATAATTTTGTTTGTTGTAATTATCATTATTATTTTAAAAACATAAATATTAGTATTTAAATTGTGCAACTGATCTATACATCTCAACAGTACAATTGCAACACTAATATTAATTCATTCATTCAAACATTAAATCATAGAGCTTTTATTTTGGTAGAAACTGCGAGGAATTGCTGATTTATGAACGCGTTTCTTTATAAAGTTGGGAAGATGTTTGGCGCGTGTTGCATGTTATAAGCAGTCTATATTATTGAATTTACTGTGATCCGAGTGGCTTACATGAAACCTCACAATATGCAATATGCATCTGATTACATATTTATATCATTACAGTGCAGACTTTATGGATTGACAATCGTGCTAAACCATATCACATTCTAAGGATAATCAATAAAAATATACTCACTCTTCAGACTGATTTTTACTCGTGTGTGGCACTTGGTGAGTGTCCTGATCATATATATACTGTACATACACTACCAGTCAAATGTTTGGACATGCTGGACTGAACTTACTGTATGTAAATGATTTGTTTTATCATTCCAGCACCAGAAATCCTGAACTATGAGCCAATCAGCACAGCGACTGACATGTGGTGAGTTATTTTCCCCCATTACCATGTTTCACGTGAGGATCCTCATCTGTCCTCCTGAAGGTCAATGTTACACAATAAATACTTCTCTGGCCTCGAGTGTAATTGTGTGTTTTCCTCTGAACAAACCGTTTATTCACTGTTTAAAGGCACTCGCACCATCACTGGTTCAGTGTGTTGGCAAGAACATTTATATCCTTAAGTCTTGTATCAACAGTGCTGCTTTGAGAAGAGTCTGTTTGGGGGAGTCCAAAAGAAAGAGAAGAGCACCAGATTGCTTTTCATGCACCGTATAGCCTATTATCATCTGAAGCCATTCCATATCTTAATGTGAGGGACATAATTTATGTTTACAGAAACTCATCTTCCTTCTGCTGCAGCTGTCAGTCCTTCTCCGCTCAGTGATGACAGTCAGCATACAACTCTCTCTCCAAGATGATATATTCACATTATAATACTTTAAGTTTAAGGAAGGAAGGAATTATCACAAACAGAAAGATTGTTAGAAGAATATATGATTTCTATCTTATATTCATGAATGTATTTTGTAAGAATACAATTTTTTTTCTAGATATTGTTTTTGCTGCTAAATTATACCGTCAGATAGTTTAATTTCATAGCTTATATATTTTTATTCAAATGTAGTTTTTCTCTGTAATGAGGAAGTGAGTATTTAGTGGATTGCGTTTAACAAAAGGTTTAAAAGAGTGACCATTAGTGCCACAAACACAGTATTGATATTCTGTAGTGGTGTAGAAACAAATAGCGCTGGTGTTGGATCGGTATTGGACAATTCTTAGAATTTGGAATACTCTATGTAACCTTACACTGCAAAATAATAACTCAAAAAAATAACATCATAATTATTTACTGAAGCCTTAAATTAATCACAATTATATAATGAAAGCCATAAAAACAGACAATTAATCGCAATAACCGTGACTATTTTTAGACAATTAATCGTCAGCCAAATTTCATAATCGTGACAGCCCTATCTGTTTGTCACCTATAAACAGTAGGGCTGGGAAAATAAATTGATGCATCGCGAATCGAGAAATGTTTCGGCATCGATTCTGAGATTTTCCGAATGCATCGCGATTCATTCTCGAGTCGATTCTGAGCTTAGTTTAGAACAGCAGATGGCGCTGCATGCTTCAGAAACAGCCGTACTCTGCTCGTTTCCAAATCCTTACTAGTGGTTGACCGATATTGGGGTTTTTTTGACCGCCGATATCTTGGAAAGCAGGATGGCTGATATAAAGCCAATATAATTGTATTTATTTTAATTAATATTTAATCAATTTGAAATCATTTGAAATATGGATTAAAAAATAAAGGTTAAACATTTATACTTTAGATGACGAAGTATTTTTTTTTACAAATAAAGAAATATATTTAACACAAATATAATTAAAAAGGAAGTAAACACTGTAATCAACAGGGCACTCAGTATTCTGGGAAGTTTGTGTGACTTGGGAATCATATTTTTTTCAAATATTTGCACACAGTGAAAATGACATCGTCAAAATAAAAGTTCGAATTCTGAGATTTTCCGGATGCGTCGCGATTCATTCTCGAGTCGATTCTGAGCTTAGTTTAGAACAGCAGATGGCGCTACATGCTTCAGAAACAGCCGTACTCTGCTCGTTTCCAAATCCTTACCAGTGGTTGACCGATATTGGGGGTTTTTTGACCGCCGATGCCGATATCTTGGAAAGCAGGATGGCTGATATAAAGCCAATATAATTGTATTTATTTTAATTAATATTTAATCAATTTGAAATCATTTGAAATATGGATTAAAAAATAAAGGTTAAACATTTATACTTTAGATGACGAAGTATTTTTTTTTACAAATAAAGAAATATATTTAACACAAATATAATTAAAAAGGAAGTAAACACTGTAATCAACAGGGCACTCAGTATTCTGGGAAGTTTGTGTGACTTGGGAATCATATTTTTTTCAAATATTTGCACACAGTGAAAATGACATCGTCAAAATAAAAGTTCGAACACATCGGCCAAACAGAAAAACTATTCGGCCGATGCCGATATTTGAAAAATGACAAATATCGGCCGATATATCGCCCTTGGCGATATATATAGATCGACCACTAACGTTTACACACACTCAAACCTAAAATAATCATTCATAAAATTCGAAAAGGTTAAAGCGAATTACAAGGATGTTCACAGTGGGCTGTGTTTACATTAATCTGGCGTCATAAAAGCATTCTGAGCCGAGGTGAAATTACAAACTCAGCAAACGCTCAAGCGCTCTTCTTCATGAGTATTTATAAAAACTAGATTAGAGCGCCATCTGCTGTTAAAATCTAAGCTCAGAATCGACTTGAGAAAGAATCGCGATGCATTTGGAAGATCTCAGAATTGATGCTGAAACATTTCTCGATTCGCAATGCATCGATTTATTTTCCCAGCCCTACTGTTTATAGGTGACAAACAGACTCTTCTCAAAGCAGCATAAAAATCAGATTAAAGTCTAAGCTCAGAATCGATTCCAGAGAGAATCGCGATGCATTCGGAAGATCTCAGAATCTATTCACGAATCGATTCTGCATTGATTTATCATCGCAGCCCTAATAAACAGGTGTGTTGTGTTAGCTTGAGCATGCTGATCCTCCTCCGTCTGACAGGAGCATCGGTGTCCTGGCGTACGTGATGCTGACGGGGATCTCGCCGTTCCTGGGGGACGATAAGCAGGAGACCTTCCTCAACATCTCTCAGATCAACATCAGCTACACGGAGGAGGAGCTGCAGCATCTGGACAGAGCCGCCATCCACTTCATCAAGAGCCTGCTCATCAAAGAGCCAGAGTAAGACCGGCGAGAGACAGTCAAGACATTCAAAGATTCATATAAACACTGTTGAACTTTCCATTCATCATGAAAAATAAAATGCATGACTGTTTCCACAAAAGTATTAAGCAGCACAACTGTGTTCAACATTGATAATAATCAGAAATGTTTCTTGAGCAGCAGATCAGCATATTATACTGATTTCTGAAGATCATGTGACGCTGAAGCTGTATTTTCAGCATCATTACTCCAGTCTTCAATCACAGAAATAAATTACAGTTTAACAGATATTCACATAGAAAACAGCTGTTATACGTTGTGATAATAGTATTTCACTAGGGATGCACGATATTACCATTTATAATGGCTTTAAATGTAAATATCTGAATCGGCCCGATATGAAAAATTATGCCGATATGTCTTGCCAATAAGATGAATACGTTAACTCGCATGTGCTTAAATATGATCAAAATTTGAATTATATTTAAATTTAAAATGCATAATTTCAGTTAGGGGGATAAAAGCTTTTGGCTTCTCTTCTGAGGCCACAAGAGGGCGCATCGAGCAAAATATTACTATTGCACGTTTATTCAAAGCATATCTGTCAAAAAAGTGCATAATGTTTAAAATAATGTTTATAAACCAATTATAATTAACTTGCTTAAACAACTTTATAAACAAAACAGCATCATGTATGTATGCATAGTTTAATACAAAGGGCGGAAAGCCAATCACACAGAGTACATTTTCTCATTTAAAAACATGAGTACTAAGATGCACTTTTTTTCAAAGATAGTTGTGTTATTTTATTACGCTTTGAAGAAACGTGCATAATATTTTGCTCGATGCGCCCTCTTGTGGCCTCAGGAGAGAAGCCTTTTTTCCCCCCTAACTGAAATTATGCCTTTTTAAATTTGAATATAATTTGAATTTTGATAATATTTAAGTAGAAAATGCTAATTTAGTTTTTCAGACATTTTGCCAGCCCTAGTGTACAGCGTTACCGGAGGCAGACAGTAGTGAAGTATTTTTACTCTGCTTTAAAAGTACTTTTCAAGTGTCTGTACTTTTATCAGTGTTTTTCTTTAGAAAACTTTACTTCACAACACTAAAGCATAATAATGTGTTGTTTCATATTAAATATCATTTAATACTTAATTACATTAGAAATCTGTGACTTTCTTTCTTTTACTCAAGTAAAAGCAATTCAAAGATGCACTTGAGTACAAGAAAGTACTACATTATTAATGTTCTTAAGTATTAAAGGTGAAATAAACAACAACTTGTATTTATGAAATGTAGTGCGGTAAAAAGTATGGCATTATGCTTGGGAATGTAAGTTTTCCAAAATTTACTCGAGTAAAGTAAAAATACTTCTCTACTGTCCGCCTTTGAGTGTTATAAATGTACACACATTTTTTAGAAATCAAAATATGTGACCCTGGAGCACAAAACCATAAGGTCAATATTTTGAAATTGAGATGTATGCATCATCTGAAAACTGAATAAATAATCTTTCCATTGATGTATGGTTTGTTAGGATCGGACAATATTTGAAAATCTGGAATCTGAGGGTGCAAAAAAATCTAAATATTGAGAAAATCATCTTTAAAGTTGTTCAAATGAAGTTCTTAGCAATGCATATTACTAATCAAACATTAAGTTTTGATATATTTACGGTAGGACATTTACTAAATATCTTCATGGAACATGATCTTTACTTAATATCCTAATGATTTTTGACATAAAAGAAAAATGTACAATGTATTGTTGGCTATTGCTACAAATATCCCCCAGCGACTTAAGACACAAGCACATTTATAAAACATTCGAGGATTACGAAGCTGATGACCGTTAAACGCAGTCCGTAATCATCACAGTCCATTCCTTAGTACAGGTTTGTCTGAGCGGCTTTGTGAACCGGTTTTAAGAGAGAACTCTTTAACAGATGAGGTGTTGTGTGATGTTGCTGTTGTTTGCGCAGGAGCCGAGCCACCGCAGAAGACTGTCTGAAGCACCAGTGGCTCCAGCCGGAGGAGGCCTGTCTGGTGAGCGTCTCGGAGCCCGTCGGTCCTGCTGATGAAGACGAGGAGGAGGAGGAGGAGGAGGAGCTGATCGTGATGGCTGCTTACACCCTGGGCCAGTGCCGCCAGTCCTCCGATGAACCGAGCCTGACCCCGGATCAGAAGGACATCTCCAAACGCTTCAAGTTCGAGGAGCCCTTCTCTGCGCGGCCTGGAGAGTTCATCTGCTGATGCACACGTCTGTCCTTCGGTCTCTGCGCTTCTCTCCCTCATCATTTCAGTTGAAAGCCAAACCGTTTGTGTTTCACTGGTTGCTCTTGTTTCTGTGTGTGCTGCTTTATATTTCCACGGTTAAGATACTGAAGCCTTGCTGTGGTTCTCTCCTTCTTTGGTGCCATGCTTACGTACTCGATAAGGGTCAGGCTTGTGGTCGTTCCTTTTTCGCCGTGTTTGTGCAAAATTAATGTTGTGTGTTTTTCTGCGACACGAGGGCAAGCAGAATTAAATGTAAATTAACCCAGTTTTATTTTAAGAGTATTTCTGTGTCATGTTTAAAAAAAGCCATTTTGTATGTTGAGCTCCTGGCTGACGTTAAGGTCTTTCCCGGATAAATATTTCACAGCAATAACACTTCCATTCACACACATATATATATGAAGAGCGTGTCTTTCTGTGTTTATTTTAACTCATGTTAGAGTTATAACTGTAAATTGATTTGTCACTGTAAAGAATATTTTTAAGTGACCGTCTTGATGCTGTAAATAAAAGTTTGTCTCGACTGTCGCTGTCTGCCTTTATTATTGTTGTTGTTATTAATACTTAATCTAAATAAAAACTCAAATATGGCATGCTTTAATCCTGAAGTTGATCATCAGGTTGTGCTTTGAAAAGCCAAAAGAAGGCAGTCATTTAAGCATTTAACAATACCTACGAAGCATTTTTAAGATAATTATTGGATTTTTTTTTTCTCTTTCTTTTAATTATCTTGGTCCTTAATTCATCTAATTGTCAATTCAAGTCTTTAAGGCATTTGTTTATGAAAAATATAAGTGTATAAATCTCTGAGGCAAAATGTTACATTTTTTTACAGCTCAATCAATTGCATTCATATCATCAAAGAAAGCTTTGGACTGCTTCTGCTATTTAAAAACCTTCAAAGCCCCGCCCTAAGCTCACACGATTGGCCGAGAGCTTCCTGCTAAAGCTCTGGCTCTGTAACCAAAGAGTGTGATTTCTCTAGATGCCTATATCTGTCAGCTAGGAGGGATATTTATGAGTAGATCTCATCAAAATCATCATCTTCCATAAATAAAGACCCATGTCTTTCTAACATGCATACAGACATTTATGTATTTTTGAGAGCATTCATTTTTACCTTCATCGTAAACCTTGATAGCAAAATGTTCTATTTTTTTTTTTTACATAAGAATATTAATACAACATACAAATATAGAGGATCACAGTGTTTTTAACTAGTATCAGTTACATTCATAATAGCTTCAGAGGAACAAACAGGGAAAAAAGGAAAGAAAGAAGAAGAAGAAACTACTACAGGGGATAACTTACAAGAAATTTCCATAAGCAAATATTCTTTACATCCTTTTTGCTTTTTTATTTCTTCGATCGTTTAAAGCTTCATTGTAATGATTAAGTTCAATTTTAAATGATGTAATTTTAGGTTTATTATTAGACCATTTTTGTTTGTATAAATATCAATTAAAAAAAACTGACCCTTATTGGGTCATTTTAAATATAAAAAATGGACTGGTTTTGTGCTCCAAGGTCACAAATGCCAAATCCCTTTAATCATCTATCACAAGGATTAAAACCAAAGAATATAGTTCTGATATGCAGAACAAGCTTGTTAAGCTTCACAAAATAGAAAGTGGCTGTAAGAAAAGAGCTAAAGCATTGAAAATCCCCATTTGCAGCATCAGGGCAATGATTAAGACGCTCCAATCAACTAAAGATGATACAGATCTGTCTGGAAGAGGACGTGTGTCTATATCGTCCTAATGCACGCTGAGGAGGAGAGTTTGAGTGGCTAAAGACTCTACAGCTGGAGAACTGCAGAGATTAGTTGAGTCTTAGGGTCAGAAAGCCTCAAAAATATATATCAAACGGCCTCTACATCAGCACAAGTTGTTCAGGAGGGTTTCAAGAAAAATCCTCCTCGCTCATCCAAAAACAATATTCAGTTATCAGACACGACTGGAACTTCAAACGGCGCTGGCTTCTGTGGTCAGATGAAACTAAAAAAGAGCTTTTTAGCAGCAAACCCACCAGATGGGTTTAGGACAAACAGGGATAAAAAGTACCCCATGCTCACAGCTAAATATTCTGTTGGATCTTTAATGTCGTGGTCTTTAAGGTTTTTCTGCCGGAGGTCCTGGACGTCTTGTTCAGATGCATTGCATCATGGATTCTATCAAATACCAACAGATAACAAATCTAAACATTACATTTAGTCATTTAGCAGACGCTTTTATCCGAAGTGACTTACAAATGAGGACAACAGAAGCAATCAAACCAACAAAAGAGCAATGATATACAAGTGCTGTAACAAGCCTCAGGTAACTTAACGCAGTACACATAGCAAGGTTTTTTTAAATTATATAATAAATAAAAAGAAAACAGATAGAAGTGTTTTTTTGTTTGTTTAGTAACTTTCTTCTGCATTTTATTTTTAGCAACATCAGACAGTATATAAAGAAAAAGCTTTAACGTACCAGTCAAAACAAAGTCAATATTAATTAACTCATTAAGATCATTAAAAGTCATCTTAATATAAACATATACTCAAAGTGTTAATTGGTTGCTAATTAAACAGCCTACAGGTGTTTTGTTTGGAGTCAGAGCTGGAGAGTCAGCAGGTGCTTCGGTAGTTAACTGGTGTTGTTGGTCTGTGCAGGAGGCGCGCTCGACCTCATGTCCAGACGTGTTGTGGCCGCTGGCACGCGTGAGATCGCAGACTATGTGCTCAAGCAGCTGCAGCCGATAAACTACAGCTGCGATGACCTGCCGTGACCTCTGACCCCATCCTAAACCTTTCACCTCAGAACACGCCACAATCCTGCCGCTGCAGTGTCCTTAATGCTACATTCACATCTCTATCAGTTTAACATCGTCTGATTTGTGTTGTAAGTCACGGCGTATGTTTGAGTGATTCATTTCTGGATGAACACAAAGATAAATTGTGACCCTGGAGCACAAAACCAGTCATAAGGGTCAATATTTTGCTGAATAAATGAGCTTTCCATTGATGTATGGTTTGTTAGGATAGCACAATATTTGGCTGAGATGCAACTATTTGAAAATCTGGAATCTGAGCGTGCAAAAAAATCTAAATATTGAGAAAATCATCTTTAAAGTTGTCCAAATGAAGTTCTTAGCAATGCATATTACTAATCAAACATTAAGTTTTGATATATTTACGGTAGGAAATGTACAAAATATCTTCATGGAACATGATCTTTACTTAATATCCTAATGATTTTTGACATAAAAGAGAAATGTATAATTTTGTTGGCTATTGCTACAAATATCCCCCAGCGACTTAACACTGCTTTTGTGCTGCAGGGACACATATGTGTTCAAGCATATTTAACTTCGTATACCTTGTAGTTTGTTAAATTGCTTCATCCATGGAAATAATGTTGGCATGTTAAACACTGGGAGTCTCTTCAGATGCCTTGAAATCGCAGGGATGTTGATGAGGCCAAATTCAGCTGATTTTCAATGCGCACCGTTTGATTTGACATTACGTAATGGAAATATCTGCTTTTGATCAAAGAAAAGCAGCTGGTTATGATCCCTTCAGATATTACAGTAGTGAAATACACACAGCTAATCAGATCATCACTCGGGACTCGCTTATAAACGCTGGTTTTACAAACTATGCTTCATTTTAGATATAACTGAAGATTACGTAGGTTTCTATCAAATTAATCAACATTTTTTTGTCTTATTTTCCAGTAAAATATCTAAACATCATTATCAAAAAGAAGATATTACACCTTGTTTTTGGAGAATGTGAAATATTATTACAGCTTGAAATTTATTTATTTATTTTTTAATTAATATTATACTGATTTCTGAAGATCATGTGACACTGAAGACTGGAGGAATGATGCTGAAAATACAGCTGCGCATCACAGGAATAAATTACAGTTTAACAGATACTCACATAGAAAACAGCTGTTTTAAATTATAATAATATTTCATAATATTACTGCTTTTACTGTATTTTTGATCAAATAGATGCAACTTTAATAAGTACTGTATGTATAATAATAATATTTTTTACACTAAATATATATATATATATATATAGTTTTTAATCAAATTCAGTTTTTTTTAAACCTTTTGAGAAAACAAAGTAAATATTCATTTTGTTTTAAGCATGTTTAGATTTTTTTTTTCTACTGGAATACATGCCAAAAAATATTGATTCATAAAAGATGCAGTGAGGAAATCTGGTTCAGCAGCTGACATCAATGAAGACATCTAAAGTTCATCACTTCATCACCTAAACAAACAATGTGATTTTATACTAAATGTCCAGACACGCACTGCAGTTTTAACCTCTAGTTTACACTGTTTTGGTTGTTGTTTTAAATAGCGATGATCTGCAGATCTAATATTTGTATAAATACATGGAGGTTTGAGTTTTGCACTGCCAGATTTGATCGTTTTTCCTGCTGTGTTGATCTCAATGAAATCCACTTTTTAATCTCTGTGCATATCAGGGCAACATTAACTATTAAAAACATGCACTAAAACCAACGCTGTCCAGTCATTATGCAGCCAAAATGAACCATATTGCGTTTCTAATGACTGTCTTTGACAGATTATTGTGCATATTTAAATTGCAAGCTTTCTTCATTTGAGAGGAGTTTACTAAGCATTCAAACACTGTTGAATTTTGAAGTAATTCAGCTACATTTATCTAGTTGACAGTTAATTATGTGTGGATTGAAATACTCTTATTAGTGGCTGACTCGTTATTCAGTACTCTCTCATCTGCTGCTTTATTCCAGCACTGCTGCATTTGCATTCTTATGCTGGATCTCTCTAAAAAGTGGCCACGGTTCCAGCTGTCGACCAATTTTTAGTTTAAATTCATATGCAAGAGCTCTTGGAAATTAAATATACCGCTGAATTTTGGCAAATCCAGTTTAATTTTATTCCCACCTTCAACCCAGCCTCTATACGATCTGTCCAGAGTCTCCAGGTGTCTGTTTAGATCCAGAAAACTCACAACGTTGGAAAGACTTTCTGAATTGTTAAAACGGCCAATACTTAAACCATGAAGAAACAATAATTACTGCCTCAATTATGACTTTAATTCTGACACAATCATGCTCCAGAACCACATTCTTTTTAACATTAAAGGGACAGATCAACCAAAAATGTAAAATTTGCCATCTTTGAGATCAGGATGAGTTTGTGCCTTCATCAGGTTTGTAGAAATGTAGCATTGTATCAGTGTCTCATTGCAAGTGAATGGGTGCCGTCAGAATGAGAGTCCAAACAGCTGATAAAAACATCACAATAATCCACAGCACTCCAGTCCATCAGTTCACATCTGGAGAAGACAAAAGCTGAAACTAATCCAGCACTAAGACATTTTTAACTAAAATACATTGAGTCCATAATCCATAATAATGCTTTTAACATATTTAACAGCATAAGACCCCAAAAATATATAACCTACAGGTTATGAGTAAAATAAATCATGTGTAAAGCCAAATCTCAATTCATGTGTGAAGTTCCAAACAACTGAAAGAATGTTGTGTTGACATTACATTTGATGAAATCTGAATATCAGAATATTCAGAATTAAGAATATTGATTATACAAAAAGGAACTTAAAACATGTGACTATAACACATGCAACTAAACTAGGTTAAAAAATGAATAGGAACATTTAAAATGGTAACCATAAAAAAAATCTGTCTGCTCTCTAAATTTGAAAGCTTTATATTCTCCCTCTGCGTTTTTCTCCTCTCACCCTCGTGCCTCGACTCATTCTCTCTTGCCTTCCATCTCTGACTAGAATTTCCTGACTGCAGACTCATTTCTGTTTTCTAAATTATACATGTCAACTATAAAGTAACCAGTGAATGTCAATTTATTAAATTAATTTGGGTATAAGTATTGAAGTTTAATGTTGGCCCACTTTATCTAACACATTCAGCCAAAGTGGGGCAGCAATATTTCAACACCTTACACGAAAATGTTATTCTTTGCATTTTATTCCCTGATGATGGTAGCGTTGAATAAAACAGGACCTGTCACAATAATGTTTGTTTGCATTTAGAGAGCAACCATAGGCCTAGAAGTTACAAAAAAAAAAATTTATGTCAGAGTTTTCTATAACTTTCACCATGACACAGCCCTCCTTTGAGATGTGGCCAGACCCCCCAGTGTCATATTGCATCAACCAATACTATTTAATTCCGAACCGTTGTTATGCTCTGAAAGTGTAAACCTTTGAGCACAGTACAGTCAAGCTTGAACGGCCCACTTTAGTGTTTGCATTTAGAGAGCAACCGTAGGCCTAGAAGTTACAAAAAAAAAAATCTTATGTCAGAGTTTTCTATAACTTTCACCATGACACAGCCCTCCTTTGAGATGTGGCCAGACCCCCCAGTGTCATATTGCATCAACCAATACTATTTAATTCCGAACCGTTGTTATGCTCTGAAAGTGTAAACCTTTGAGCACAGTACAGTCAAGCTTGAACGGCCCACTTTAGCTGAATTCACCCGAGAGACTTTAAATCAGTAGAGGAGCCTGTGTGTGGAGTCCTGTGATGGCCTGCAGGTGGCGCTGCAGACACTGTTATACTGTTTATTTATGCTTACATCAAAACAAACATTACTTTACAAACGCTACACAAATATTTTACATTTTACATCTATATTTTATTTAGAGTAATATGTGTCCCTGCAGCACAAAAGCAGTGTTGAGTCGCTGGGGGATATTTGTAGCAATAGCCAACAATACATTGTATGGGTCACAATTATACATTTCTCTTTTATGCCAAAAATCATTAGGATATTAAGTAAAGATCATGCTCCATGAAGATATTTTGTAAGTTTCCTACTGTAAATATATCAAAACTTAATGTTTGATTAGTAATATGCATTGCTAAGAACTTCATTTGAACAACTTTAAAGATGATTTTCTCAATATTTTGATTTTTTTGCACCCTCAGATTCCAGATTTTCAAATAGTTGCATCTCAGCCAAATATTGTCCGATCCTAACAAACCATACATCAATGGAAGCTTATTTATTCAGCAAAAAACTGACCCTTATGACTGGTTTTGTGGTCCAATGTCATATATATATATAGGCTAGTTAAATGTAATATAGAGTATAATAATAATATAGTAAAATAAAATACAGTGAAAATATATCAAATGTACATTTAACATTTAAAAAAGAAGAAAAAATGAGTGTACTTGATATAGACGTGATCCCACAACCATTCATTTGCATTCCACAAGTTTCATTTTGAGTTTTCTTTTTTTTTCTCTCTCTCTCTGGTTTGGAGAAAGCCCAGCAAACTCTGAAGAGCAGCATGAGCTCTCCTGTCAACAGGTAAGACGAGAAACCTGACGCGCAACCTGCTGCTCTGAGGGAAGTAAAGCATGTCTGAGCAGAACTGAGGAACCTGCGCGTGGATGATCTGGACTCTGAAGTTCTTCAGCCTTTGATTACCATGAGGACTAGACTAGACTAGACTGGACTAGACTATCATGCGCTGCGAAAGACTCCGAAGCAAGAAGAGCCCTGGACGCAGATTTCTCATTGCAGCATCTGTTGTGATATGATGATGGCCTCGGAGCTGCTGTGTGGACTCCTCTTCAGACTGCTGCTGCCACTGGGCCTCGCCGCAGGTACGGCTTGCTTTACTCAGCCACCAAACTAATACAACACAAGTGTACCACGAGACCTCATACAGCAGAACTGGGTTTAAACGTTGTATTAAATGCATATAAAGTTGGTGATTTAATTAAAAAGAAAAAGAGAGCAAGAAGGAAATACATTTTAAGTAATATAACAAAAATATTATTATTTAAAAAATGACTTTATGAGTTTTAATTGTATATAATTAAGCTAAGTTAATTTACTATATTTTGATTAAAATTAAAAATATATATATTGAATAGATTTATTAACAGAATTGTTATTTCTGTTTTGTATATATATATATAACAGAAATAATCATTCTTATTTAAAAAATTTATATTTATAGAATTTTTAATTTAATGTCATTCTGATCATTAAATTTAAAATATTTTAATTAAAGTTCAATATATGTTATTATGGCTACTGCCACAGATCGCTACAACAATCCAGATCTCTGCTTTCTCACAGCCCCATTCTTCAGCAACACCAAAGACTGTTTATTTGTGATAAAACGCCCAACTGAAACAAGATCAGAGCGAGAACACTCAGCCTACATAACACAGAGCTGTTTCAATCGCTAGTGAGCTGCCTACCTAGTCGGCAACATATGAGAGCTCACTACGCAAAATACAAAATAACATTGCTTTCTGAGATAACTCATATTCTAAAGCAGCATCACGTCCGCTTACAAAAATTAGCCATGGTTTTACTACAAATACAACCAAAAAAACATGGTTACTATGGTAACCACAAATTAAGCATGGTCTTGCTACACTAACCATAGTTTAATCATGGTATTTGGAGTAAAACTGTGCTTATACAAATGCTAATCATGGCTACTACACTTTTACTATAATCAAATCATGGTTAATTTTCCTAAGGGTCACGGCGATCCCAGAATGCATTGCAACAAGCTCAGACGAGTTGAGAAAAATGCTGCTTAAAAAAACAGCTCAAAACAGCCTGTACTGGGTGCCTGGTTTAAGATGGTTTTCAGCTGGTTAGTCAGCTGGTCAAAACCTCTCTAAAACCAGCCATCCAGCTTAGGCTGCTTTCAGTTGCTTTCTTCAGCAGGTATCAGTTGATGTATTTCATCAAATATTTTTTTGAGTAGTTATCATATTGTTAGCTTAGCAACATGCTAACACCAAGCTCAGCTGGAATCAACTGTGAGAGATGAACAGATGCTGCCAGTGCATTTCTTTCATTCATCACTAAAATCATCACAAAAGGTTGCATTGTGTTCAAATCAACTGTTTTACCCAGTTGCTGTTTTTTTAGAGTATTGTGTCTTTACTGAGATCAGCTGTGAGGGTTGCTGTCCATGAGGAGTGTTTCAGTTTAGTCATTTGTGATGTTTTGTGACGGTTACATTGGGGCCGTTCAGTGTGTGTGTGTTTATATTGCATTCCACTTAACTGCTTTTCCATTCTTTCTTTGTAAGCATGCACTAGCTGGATGTTTTTGACTACTGCGTCTCTTGCAGCATCTCGTGCATGACACAGCATGCTAAAAATATAGCTCTCAAGTAAAACTAAGTGAAAATGCTTGTGTTTTTTCCATGCCACTGCCCTGCGTCTCGTGTTTTAAACTAGGATGACTATACGTGCCGGTTTTTCCCAGACATGTCCAGGCCGGATTTTTCCAAATTGCCTAAAATGTTCGGGTTTTGGCTTATTATTATTATTTTCTTATTGACAGTCTCTCTACAGTCCTCATACAGTATATGTACGTGTATTTGCATCGCTTTAACAGTTCTCTGTTAACCCCGCCTTCTCGAAGGCTACGATTGGTTGATTATGTTCAATGCCTGCACACTATTGGTCGAACCTCTTTTCAGTCATTACCTTCAGCAAGAATGACAACAATAGGAAAACAAAGCCAGACATTTGAGGCTATTTAGAAATCAAGGTAGGGCTGTGGGCAATGATAAGCTCTGGACATTTTCACTGGATGTGGATGAATCTAACAGCAGAAATAAACATGTTTAGTCACTAGTAAGTCTGCATGCCATGCATGTCTTTGTGTGAATGAATGGTGGAGTTTAATCTGTTGCACACAAACTCAAACACACATGACGCTCGTCTCAATATACGAGGACATGAGCTTCACCTCCAGAGCTGCACCGCGAGTCACTTTACAGAAAAACTACCATCAAACACACACTAAGACTCAAAGATCTTCACCACAACCCGCCAAAATAAACGTTCAGTTTCAATTGAAGAAACTATGACAGAAATATATTACTAAAATGTAACTTTCAAAGTAACAATAATAATATTTTAAAGCAATATCATACAAGCAAGATATTGTTTCATCCATGTTTTAATATTAAACATACAGTTCTGTTGTGCAGCATCTTATTTGACAAAAACATTTTTTGTTGTAAATAATTGTTATATTTTCATTTGATTACATTTGCTTGAATTGTTGACGTTTCTATCAATTCATTTCATTAGACAACATTTTTGACGATGCATTTGTATTAAATCATAAAACACAGAATCCATAAATAAAAATTTAAAAAAGTACAGTAACATTTTGGGGAAAAATAAACCCGATTTCATGAGGCCTTAAATTAAGGGCGGCTACTTAGTTTAATTAAGAACAAACACGTTCTGTTCACTCTCAAGGTCTAACAAACGTATTTCTTTCTCCATCAATGCATAATATTAAATATTGTGATAAATATTGGTATTTTATTGCATGGAAAAATATATATGATCATAATATTGTTGGCCACATCGCCCAGCCCTACAGCCGGGCTAGGAAAAAGAGGACTTAGTCACTTTATTTAATTGCAAAAAAGTGAAGGAGGAGCTTTTGGACTTAGAGAGAGCTAGAAAGTGTCTTTCATTTGTTCTCAAGGATGATGCAAAGGTCAAATCCTGCTCTTTTGTGAACCATCCGTTTTGAGTTTTATGGCTTTTCTAAAGAGGTTGACAGAAGCAATAAAATCAAATCCAAATAAAGCTGTGGCTTCCGCTTTTAGCCAAATGAATGATTTTTAAATGTTACCAGTCTCAGGTCAATGAGTGAAGCACCATAAACACAAGCTGAAGTGATTTGTGTAAACGCTCTCGGGTGGGATGGTGACGAAGGTGAGCGTAGATTTCAGTATACCTAAATATTTTGTTTGCACATATACAGGAAGTAAACAGCAGTTATTTACTTTCATAAGACGATGTGATACACAAAGATACATCCAGCATCAAATATTTGCGACTTGCGATCTCTCGTCATGCTTTCTAAGGCCAGAAACATCATCTACCCGTATGCAAACTCTGCGTTATGTTGAAACATGAATTGCAATCTGAACGTAAAAATATGAGCATTTGACCTTGCGTAGGTAGACGTACTTGCATGTGTTCCAGGCTTTAAGTACACTATGAAGATCTGCTTGAGAAGTCCACGTCTCTGGGTTTTGTTTGTGTTTGTGGTTAAACTGGAGTTTGGAGCTGGTTAAACCACACATAGTGCTTTGTTAGACAGCTGCTTCATTTGGGGCTTTGCAGAGACTTTTAATGTCATTTGAAACATTAAAGACATGCTGTGCACAGTCACGCTCTCATTACGGCTCTTTATTCCTCTAAATGGCCCACTATCACAGAGGACTAGTAGACACGTTTAACCCGGTGCCCTTCAGCTGTAACTTTAGTACTTCTGAAGCCTTTACTGTTGTTTGGAAGCAAACATGATTTGTTTGGTAAAGCAATACCAAGCTCAAATGAAACTAAATGTTGTTCAAGTCAAAATCTGAAGTTGGAATTGAGCCTGTTTACTTTACCTTACACTGTTAAAAAAAACTTTGACATTTACGGTAAAATACCGGCAGCTGTGGTTGCCAGAACTTCACCGTAAAAAATATGGTAGCAACATTTTAGGTTTTACAGACTTGACTTAAATTCACAATAAAATACCGTATTTCATTAACTGATGTAATGTTAATAAACCAACACATTGAGGTACTAATATCTGCTTTGAACCATTGTAATGCACTGATAGCCACCAAAAACTGGTGGTGATGAGAAAGTCACACGATGAACCAAAGCTCATCACAAACAGCTTTTCACAATAAGTAACACTTATATATAGAAGGTGCACACAGTGTCATTCACACAAACACTAAACCCCATCACGGTGACACACGATACTGAAATAATGCAATAAACATTCATTTAACAACATTAGATGGAAGATTAAACCCTAATGTACACAACTGATACGAAAAAACTAAGAAGAAACGTTATTTCAACAAAAAAAAACATCAACTATGAAGCGTCATGCAGGGAATTCTGGTGTCAATTTACGGTATTTCACTGTAAATTAAACAATGACTTTTTCTTTTTCACTTCCAAAAAACTGTAAAATTACGTTAACTGTAATTACATTTATTCACCGAATATATTATGGAAACTTACTGTTAACCAATCAACAGGTTTTTACTGTGGCATTTTTACAGTCTTTTACTGTTAAAATCACAATCATTTTTTACAGTGTAGGGATAATGTCCAAATAGCTACTCATTTTAAGCTAATTCTAGAATGTAATGCCCATTTCTTTCACAATCACATCACTTCCAATCCCCACTTTTGTGTTGAATGTCAAATATATACTGTATATAACCCAGGCTCATTGGAATAATGTGCTTGTGGTGATATTTTTGTGAGATGATATTGCGTTGCTTTGTGCACCTTTCACAACACTTTTAAAGTGAAATGTTCAGTGAGCGGTGTTTCAATCAGAAATACTGTAAAATGGGTCGCCAACATCAGTTCTAGTTCACACCATGAACAATAATTATAAAGATAATGATAACGTTTTAATAATTGTTCTAATTCTGTGAGTCAACTGGAATCAGTGCTATTTTAGTATCGTTGAGAAACTGTTATATTTTATTCATATTTTTAATGTTTATATTTTCAGATTTTATTTAACGTTTTAGTAATATTGTTTTGTTTGTTTCTTGTCCCTTTTTTTAGTTTGA